TACCAGTACCATGCTGTTTTGATTACTATTGCTTTGTAGTATGTTTTGAAGTCAGGGATTGTGATGCCTCCTGCTTTGTTCTTTTTCTTAGGATTGCTTTAGCTATTCGGGGTCTTTTGTTGTCCCATATGAATTTTAGTATTCTTTTTTCTATTTCCATGAAGAATGTCATTGGGATTCTGATTGGGATTGCATTGAATCTGTATATTGCTTTAGGTAATATAGACACTTTAACTTCTTCCAATCCACGTGCATGGGATATCTTTTCATTTCTTTATGTCATCATCGATTTCTTTCAGTAATGTCTTGTAGTTTTCATTGTATAGGTCTTTCACCTCCTTGGTAAGATTTATTCCTAGGTATTTTATTATTTTGATGCGATTGTAAATGGTATTATCTTTTTGAGCTGTCTTTCTGTTAGTTCGTTATTAGTATACAGAAATGCAACTGATTTTTGTAGATTGATTTTGTACCCTGCAACTTTGCTGTAGTTGTTGATTATTTCTAATAGTTTTCCAATGGATTCTTTAGGGTTTTCTATATATAAAATCATGTCATCTGCAAACAGTGAGAGTTTCACTTCTTCGTTACCTATTTGGATTCCTTTTATTCAAAAGTATTGATAATATGCAGAGTTAGTTAGGGTTTGAGGAAAATGGCACATAATAGCACATAATGGCATATATTCATCATATGTGGATGGCGAAAATGTAAACTGGTGGAAATTATTTTGGAGGGCAATTTTCAAGTGAATATCCCTTAACCCAATGGTTGCAATTTTAGGGATCTGCTCTACAAAAATATTTGTGCAAGTTCACCAGGATATATGTACAAGGACCCTCACTAAAGTATTATTTGGAATAGTAAAAAATGGAGGCAATTCCATCCATAGAAGAATTATTAAATACTGTACAGTAACTGAAAAGAATGAACTAGATTATCTATATGAAATGACATGGAAGGATGTTTGGTTACGCTGTTCAGTAAAATATGAGATTCTTGAATTAAAAAAAATCAGGTTATACAGAAGTAAGTATAGTAGGATTTATTTTTTAAAATGAACTCAATATCTGTACCACTTTGGTAATTAATAAATACATTAAGTTGGAAAGGATGTGGGGAAAAGGGAACCCTCATACACTGCTGATGGGAATGCAAACTGATGCAGCCACTATGGAAAACAGTATGGAGATTTCTCAAAAAATTAAAAATAAAAATGCCATATGACCCAGCTATCCCACTACTGGGTATTTATCCAAAGAACTTGAAATCAACAATTCAAAGAAATTTATGCACCCCTATGTTCATTGCAGCATTATTCACAACAGCTAAGATGTGGAAGTAACCCAAGTGCCCACCAAATGATGAAGGGATGAAGATGTGGTATACATAGACACAATGGAATACTACTCAGCCATAAAAAAAGACAAAATTGTCCCATTTGCAACAACACGGATGGACCTTGAGAGTATTATGTTAAGTGAAAAAAGCCGGACAGAGAAAGACAAACACCACATGATTTCACTCATATGTGGAAGATAAACAAACACATGGACAAAGAGAACAGATTAGTGGTTACCAGAGGGGAAAGGGGTTGGGGGGTGGGCATAAGGGATAAAGGGGCACATATATATGGTGACTGACAGACAATAATGTACACCTGAAATTTCACAATGTTATAAACTATTATGACCTCAATAAAATAATAAAAAAAACATTAAAAAGTTTACCCAGGGGATAAATAGTTTGTAGGTACAAACTTCCATATATATTGACTAATTCAACCACATTAATTATATAGTTTAAATTTTCTATGATCTTAGTTTTGGTTTATTTCCTTCATCTTAGCATTGCAATGATTTTTGTTAAATTATTCCCTTATAACTGTTCCTATTTTGCCTTGTATTTTTAATATATTTTGCTGGGTATTAATTGAAACTACATTCCAGGCCAGACTTTCTCATTATAGGTTGTGCCTTTTAAAATTCTATCTTCACCCTCTTTGTCCTCTTTGTTCCATGTAATACTTTTTGCTTTGAATTCTACTTCATTTGACATTCACGTAGTCACCCATGCTCTTTTTTGTTTACATTGTCCAGACTTCGCCCATCCTTCTGTTTTTAATCTTTCTGCATCAATTTGTTATATTAGAGCTCTTATAGGTGGTATAGATTGGATTTCCTTTTTTCTTTTTTTAAATCAATCTGTATCTTTGCCTTTTGGTAGGGGAAACTTAAATTGTCATGCGTATTTATCATTATAATAGATATGTTTGATCCTATTCCTGCTATCCTATTTTACGCCTTCTTGATGTTTCCGAAGCTAAGAGCTGGAATTAAAGCAGTAGCAGTGGAAAGGAAAAGTGGAGCCAAGTAGAAAGGTAATAATGATGGTGATGATAATGATATGGGGGATGCAGGAGAGTGAGGGGGGTGGAGGACTGAGAGATGGTTCCATGATACCAAGCTTTGTCAACCAGTGTATGGAAGGAGCAAAAGTTCCTTTTGTTTGTTTCTGTAATGGTAGAGATGAAGAATTTAGTTTAAGATAGGTTCTCTGAGGTCCTTGTGGGATATCTAAGTAGAGATATGCTACAAAAGCAGTTGGATATACAAATCTGGAGCTTATGAAAGAAGTCTTCACCTACACATCCATAGTTCTATGGGAGAATCTGAATTTTGCCTGTGGTTTAAAATAACAATTAATTTGATGATGGTCCACATTCCGGTTAAGTCTTTGTCTATGGCAAAGATGTACCAGACTTCCTTACCCCAAACATAGTACAAACAAAGCAAGGAAAATTACCTTTGCCATTCCAACTGAACTGGCATTCAATTCTGAGATCCCTTGGTTTGTCTTGTCTCCACGTTCCCATATCCCGAAGTCCTGGCATAAAATAATCAACATACCATTAGCAAGCCATCACTATTAAAGGATTACTAGATGCACAACACTTGGATAAAAGGCACACATAGTAGCTAATTTGCCATACATATGTGTACCCCCAATGCTTATTAAGGAGATACCAATGAGTTGGGTTGCCCCCATAGCTATTTTCCAGTAGCTTTAAAACCTATTGGGGCCTCCAAGAAGTTGGAAGACTCCTCGACAGCTGATCAGGACTAAGAACTCTAACTCAGTCCATCTGAAGAGGTGCTTCTCAAAACTTTTCATCAAAGCAGATATCCAGGGGGTCTACGAGATGGAGCTTAAACAGTTCCCCAGTATTTTATCTTAAACATTCATTCTGATTACACCCTCTTTTGGCACTGACAATGTACCATACACTAACCTATGCACTTTACAGTATTATCTTCCTTAATCCTTACATTTTATAGTTGACGAAACTGAGGTACAAAGAGGGGTTAAGTGACTCACCCAAGGTCACACAGCTAATAAGTAACAGAGCTAGGATTAGAGTCCAAGTACTCTCACTCCAAAGCCTACATTTTCAACCATAGCTCTATACAGCTCCTTGATATTATAAAGATAACATTTAAAATTACTTTTTAAAAACTCTATATTTTGAAATAACCTTAGACTTACAGAGAAGTTGCAAAAACAGTACAGTGAGTTCCCATATATCTTTCACTCAGCTTCGCCTAATGCTAACATCTATCATAACCATAGCATAATCGTCAAAGCTAAGAAATAAACATCAGTATAATACTAGTAACCAAATTATGGACTTTATTAGGATTTCACTAGTTTTTCCACTACTAGTGTTTTTATATTCTAGGATCCAATCCAAAATACCATGCTGCATTTGTCATGCCTCCTTAATCTCTTCCAATCAGTTATAGTTTCTCAAATCTTGTCTTTCGTGACCTTGATACTTCCTGAAGATTAGTGGTCAGATATTTTATACATTTCTCTATAGTTTGTTTTTCTGCTGTCTTCTCTTTTTTTTTTTTTTTTTTTTTTT